TATATATATATATAATGATACAGGTATAAATTTTGCTTGAGCTGATTAATAATACCAAATAATAGGCTATGACATGTCCACAAAATGGAAAAAAAAAAATCCTATGTAACTTCACAATTCTGACCCCCTATTTTTTTCTAGCCTGATGACTTCAATATTGTCTCTTTACTGTCTGGCTGCCTCCAGTCTATAAACGCAGATCATCTAGAACAGTCTGATTCTGTAGAAAAATAGTAAGAGTGACTGCAGGCAAATCAATGCTTGCCTCCCATACCAACCCCCTGAAGTAAAATAATATAAAGTACTACATAGTGAAGAGACAAAGACATGGGCATGACAGCCACTGTGAAGAAAAAAATTTTGAGGATCAAGTGGTATTAACCAACATCATTTCTAAACATATTTTATGGGTGCTAAGGAGAGAGCTGCGACGCCTGCAAAACTGACCTTTAATATATTTTGAATCAAAATTAAAATCTTCTGTGGAATTTATGAAATACAGATTTTTTTTTTTTAATTAATTGCAGCAAATGTTTTAAAAGTTGCAAACGGGTCCCATTATTTTCTTTGTATGTTTACATCTTCCCTCTGTTCTTCTGAACATACAATAGAACTGTGCACTGGAAATCTGTCTTGATAGATGTGCTGGCACAACAACATGTAAAGACACATCTTGTTGCAAAGAAAATTTAAGCAGAGGAATTACTATTTTAATAGACAGAAGGACTGTTCCCTTCCTTCTTGTAATATAGAAGCAGTTAATGTGTGTGTTTTTTTAGAGAGTCACCCTTATGGTCACCTTAATCTCCATCTCTTAAGATGTAAAATTGAGATAACTGAACTGCCCCATCTTTGTGAGCTGTTTTGAGATAGAAAGAAAAAATAAGTTACAAACTTCCAGTTGCCTATCAGTAATTTGTCAGTGAATCCTTCCACTGACTCCCATCTTACTATGTAACTCAAAGATACATTTCCTGTCATTTATTTCATAACTCAACATTAGTCTGACATGACTTCTCCAACACTCCACCCCACTAATGTATCAGCTTTACATTGAACTTCTCATCCTTTCACATTATCTGTCTGCATGCCATTTCCCTTACCTTATCTTTCATATGTCTCACATATTCCTCCGTATTTCAGCTCCTGTTGAAAAAATTGTTTCTGCAGTCCTTTTGGTGGAATTTCTAGTTGACTTATATTAACATGTATGTTGATTTTTAAACTCACAAGAGCATAATTTTCTTCTGTGTACACCTGGCAAATCATCATCTCACTCACCCTTTGTGTATGTTGTACAACCTAAAGATCTGTCTTCTGTTTCTGTATTTCTTCACATGATTCTAAACTTTTAATATTTTCTGTATGCAAACTACTTCACCTTTATGGAAGGCTATGTTTTAAACAAACAGCTCTTGCACAGAGGAGTCTCTGCATTGAAAGAGCTATTACATACAATCATGCAATTATGTTATGAAAATTTCCTTTCTGTATAATTTTTTTCTATAGCTTTGTTTCCTCCCTTTGGAAATTAGCATGTCAGACTCACCAACTGTAAAAAGAAAGTACAGAAAATATCGTATCAAAACCAGATTCCTTTCCTTCCTTAAATTCCTTAGAACAAGAAGAAAGGACCAGTAGCATTAACTCTAACTCACCATATTCATGGTCACATTATTGTACAGACTTTCCTACAATCTCCTTTAAACTAGTTTGAAAAAAGTGGGGGTAGAAAACTGAAAAGTTTGTGGTTTTTTCAAATCTGGATTAAATATTTCTTATTCTATTATGTATTTCAGCAGTTGGAATAAGTTAGACTCAAAAAAATGAGTATGACACTATAATGTTATCCAGTGAATGATAATGGGGCTTCTATATACACAAGCATAAGATACTCTCCCTTATTTAAAACCTTTTTTTTCTGACACAGTGTGTAATCCAACTGCAGTAATATGGTTAAAACACAAAGCTGTAATTAATAAACTCAGTCCTCTCTCTTCATAGGAAATAATCAAGTATATTGAAAAAAAGTAGTATAGTTAAAATAATATCAAACTGCAATGAACATAAGGCTACTAACCCACAGCATGAACTGTTCCTCTATGCTTCTTTGAAATCTTGTTTGCCTTAACTACATGTTGAGCATTTTCTTTGAACTGCAGCTCACAAAGTCTTTCAAGAAGAACTGTTATTTCTTCAGTGATGGTATCCAGATAAGTTTCATTAATAAACTTCAATGATGAAGAAGGATCAATAATAGTTCCATTTAGTATACATAAATCTTCTTTTATCATTGTGCACAATGTGGGTATGGAGCTTTGGTAACCATGAACTACATGATCAAAATTTGTTTCACCACAACTAGACAAAATACAGCTCTGTAGAAGATCACTAACCAGTTTACTCTGCATGTTTTGATACTTCGTTAAGACTTCTGATTCAGGATAAAGAAACAAAAGTTGCTGTATGCACTGAGTTTTAAACTCCATTTGTTGTGGTAAAGCATTAGTATTTGTTTCTTCCTTACTTTGCAGTCTATTTACTAAAAATCGTCGAAGATGCAATCTCACATCATCCCAGAGAGATTTCACATCCATAGCTGAATCATCCTCAATGGCATGAAGGGAAGATGTTAACTCAAAAGACGTCCCACTTGGAGTACAGGGAAATGAGACACCACACCGACTAGAGAGATCCAGAAGGAAGTGAAGTATCATTTCTTCTTGATTTTGTTCATTCTTCAGCAAGTTTTGCTAACAAAGGTAAATCAGACAGCATTTTAGAAATGTTTTTGCTAATTCTCCTACCAGCAAGTAAGAGACTCAAACAAATCACTATATAAACAACAGAAATAACAAAGCCCATTTTCCCATGGATTTATGCACCAATCCATCTCCTTGCCTACTTCCTCCAATAACTCATATTCCTCTTCCCGTCTTTCTTACATCCTTAATGTCTTTTCTCCATCAAATGTAACCCACCATTCAAAACAAAGCTTTGGAAACTCATTAGGTAAGCCTTGGCAAGCCTGTTTGTTGTAGTCCATGCACATATCTTTGAAAGAAAATGGCATGAGAAATTACTCAAGATTTACACAGATAATGACAGGTTTTTCCCATAGAACCAAGACAAAAATTTATAAAATGACACATCGTTGTTTTTTTCTATGTTCTGGCTCAGGAAGCAAGCATCAAAAAGGCCATTCTAAGGATAAAATAATCTTTCCAGGACTCCTTTAAAGAACTCAAATCAAAAAACTTGTGAGGAATTGATCAGGCTTAGATCACATGGAGCAGAAGAATGAGAAGATGTGTACCCTGTCAAACCAAGATGCAGACTGATACATTAACAATATAGCAACCTCTAAATACATCTCAGCTATATGGGTTGGAGAAGAGGGAGGAAGCCAGTTAACAAAGCAGGTGAAACCACATGGATGCATGTGCTGTTCCTACTTCATCTGAGCCTGAAGAGCTCTCCTTTTGTCCAAAGACGGGATCTTGGACCTTAGGCTGCTACAAGAGACCATGTAGCAAATAGCAGGCCCTCTTGTCACAGCTCAATGCTTTGACTTTGCCCAGAATGACATAAATTTAAACAGCACTCTGCACCTTTCCTTAATATGCACGAGACAAATCATTTGCATGAACAAGGCATGTCCAATATATGAGTAGAAGATAACCTCAAAGTCCCATGGTCACTGGACACCAAAAACTCCTTTCTCTTTCAAGGAGAAAAAAAGTTGCCTCTTATAAACCCGTTTCCTACATCCTCAACATTTTCCCTATTGCAGGTTGGCTTTGGCCACAGTCCTAGGCCTATCAACTTTCTATTTGTAAAGACCTGCTCTCAATCCACCAGCTCCACTAAAGCTGACTACACATCAACCCCCATCACAGTCACAAGAAAACAGAGGTAAATTGGTGGTACTCTTTATTTTCTGGGTTTCAGGAACCAAGTAGGCAAGCCTTAGTGACTCAGGATCTAGAAGCCCTCTCACTTGCTCCCCCACTTCTCATTGCTTCTCTCCAACAGAGACAAGTGTTGTGGCAAATCCCATAAGGGTGGTTCTTTCCACTCATCTCCTTTATGTGGGTCTCACCGCTATACTCCATCCTACAAAGAAAGGCTGGTAGAAAAACTGTTGTCAACCTTCCACCTTCAGAACTACTTATTTAACCTGTAGTATCTAAGGAAATTATTATTTTTATTTCTTTTCCCATTTTGAAAGAGAGATAAATAAATAAAATTTGAGTATGGTGTTCCGTAAATATAATAATGTCAAAATACAAAATGTTCAGTTTTCCACTGCAGCAAGCTTTTATCATTAGATAATTTATAAAAATATGAAAAAGACAAAATTTAGAACAAAAACTTCAGTGGGATTTTCTTCTTCTCCCCTCATGCTTTCAAATCATAAAAATATTTAATATCAGATCTCCTGCTCTTTGTTCTGAATGATTCAAAACTGTTGCACTCTAATGGGAGAAAACAAGAGTTTTACCTTCCTATTGCCCTCTACTTTGGAGTGCTTCATGATTAAAATTAAAAAATAAAAGAATTAGCACCACAGTAGCTAACCAAAAGACAGAGAGCATGATTGCCCCCCATAAAGGTAAGTCTTAAAAAACATAGACTAGCTATTTTTCTTCCATTTTACATCTCTATTTCAGAATGCTTCCTATGATTTTTTTTTACTTACAAGCAGAAAATGCATATGCAAGACAGAATAATAAAGAAAATTAGCAGTCAAATATCACCCTATAAAAGCACATGCATGGCACAGAAATATGTATAACTAGTTAAAATCTTAAATTGTACAAATCAAAATGCAAATAGGTAAGACTGATCTGATTTCTTCTATTATCTATTGAAGTATTCCAGAAAGTTTTGTTTCCCCAAAGAAAATGTGTCTTAGTGTGTAAAACTAAACCTGAATCACTGACCACTGTGTTGAAGAGTTGAGTCTCCACAGGTAGACTTCTGGAGTTTAAAAGATTTGGTTTTGATTTAGTTTTTTTATGAATCATGCTAAAATACTATGTTCTGAAACGAACAAAACAAGAGAAGCTGTCAAAAAGGTGAATGTAACTAATGCCTTTGGATGATGAATCCAAAATGTCTTCTAAGCAAATTCCTACTGCTGTTTTTTAAGGTTAAACAGAAACATTTTTATTCATGAAAACCAATAAGAACCTAAGCATTGTTTCAAGCCCTTTGCAACTTCAAGTAAAGCATTAGAAACAGGAAACTTGCACATCCCATCTTAGACTTGGTGTCATGCAGAAAAAGAGCCCCTGAAGTGAACTTTGAAGCTCTGAAAACACAGTGTCATTAAAGCTCTTTGAACACTGCCTATATTGACATAGGCTTTTCTATTTCAAAATCAACCTGTAAAAAAACTTCAAAAGATGATGCAAAATCTATTCAAGATAAAAAATCCAAATTGGTATCCAAAGGTTTTAGAGAAACATGAAAAGTCTTTATGAGCACAGAAAGTTAGTGACAATAATATACAGGAAAACTTTTGCTGTCTGCCAACTGAGTACTACCTACTACAGACTACTACTATCTATCATATTAACAAAAAAATCCAGTAAGATGAAGATTTTGTTAAAGAATATATTGTTATTAGATTAGCAGGAATAGAATTGAATGAAGATGTGTTCATGTTCATATTCAGCTTTTAAATATTTAGAATTATAAAACAGGACACAGAATGATGAAATTTCATGTAGTTAACACTGTCAGGCTTCATGAAGAACCTCTCAGTAGTTCCGTAAGAGTTCACAAATGCCTGGGAATACTACGCTAACAATAAACCCAAATACATAAAACCCAAATACATAAACCCTCTGCCAAAACACATACAGAACTTCCCACTATTTTTTTAATTGTTTGAGCATCTTAAAAGATAAACAAAATCCCTAACAAAATAAACATACCTAATAAGGGATAACAATGAATAGGGATATCGTCCTGAAGTAGAAGGAAGGTTACTATTATTGAAGATGTATTATATGATACCTAATTAAAAGCTTGCAAGTGAGAAATTAAGTCAACTGATTAATTAGTTCAATGGATGGAGGTACACATTTGAGAAAGGTCAGATCGTAATAATCTCATTGTTATTGAAAATAGTTTACTGCAAACCTGTTTGCGGAGCAAAAGATTATCTAGTGTGAACCTAACTTCTTACAGTTAAATTGCCTATGCTAATACAGATACACATCTACACAACAGGCTGGATTATCTAAGAAGCCATCATCCTGAAAACATTGATGTCCAAGTTCCTGAGCTCCACAGATGTTTTCCTGATAAACTGCAGAATTGTGACTTTAAGGCTCCTGACACTGCTGTCTGTTTAGCAGCCTGCCACACAGCCATTCTCAAGCCCTAACTGGATTCTACTGCCCACGGCCAGACTGTCACGCAGCCAGGAAGCTCCTGGGAAACTGAAGAGCTAGAAAGTACATTTTGTTAAGATATCCCCGAAGTATTCCAGAGATAGGGACATTTTGGTGTTTCCCAAACAAATGCCGCCACCTCGTGTTCAGGTATATGGCTCGAAAAGACCTTGGAGAAGGAAGAAAGCAGGGAGAGGACACAAGTCAGTAAGTCATCATTGCCATGCCCTCTTCTGAGGGGGTTTAAGTGAGGATCTAACTGGACTAAGGAATAACAAAAGACTTCCTGAGACAGCACTTTCTGGGATTTTCTGATTTTGTCCAGTTGAAGTATGACACGTATGAAGCAGTCTCCAACACACTTGAGTGGGATGATTATTAACAGCAACATTCATACTGATCACCTGTGTTAGAAAGGGACAAAATCACTTCTTCACCACGTGAACATTAAAGACCTGGTATTTCTAGAGATTACTTCCTCATCTGACACAGCTTAACATCCAGTGGATTCAAGGGTGACTGAAAGATCAACAACCAGTTTTAAGAGTCAAAAAACTGAGAGGTGATTTGATGAAGTTTGAGCTCTAGCCAGGAGAACTTCTCCACAGCAGTTTTCCTCTCCTAGGACAGGCAATCTTAGCCTAAAGGTGTCCACCTTCTGTGAATAAACCAAGACATGGAATTGACAAAAGAAAAATCTTCTGGATACTGTTTATTTGTTTTGACACTCATATGTATGTACATCATATAAACACACATATACACAGTTTATATACAAACGTGCAGGCTGCCATTTACTGAGATATCATCCTTCACTTATCTAGCCAATTCAGTTTTCCAGACTTCAATTTCCACACACATATTCCAAGCTGAAATTTTAATAAAAATTTTGGATAAAAAATGCCTTCTAAATGATGAAATTTTTTTGTAGAAGCGAAATTTGATTCGTGGTTGCATCTGGTTGTAATATTTGCTAGGACAATGGATGTAGCTCCCACATTTCAAATTAGAAAAAGTAGACAGGAATTTAATGCTTAAATAATGCATAAAGGACAATAATCTGTATCAGATAAGCTAAATTCATAGTGATACAAGTGAAGAATAAGCAGTTAACAGGAATAACCTCAGTGTAGACAGTAACTTCAGATGTTTTTTAGCAACATGTGTTTATAAACAGTCCTAGAAGTGCTGAACATGTGGTAGTATCATGAAAATATTTTGTCCCAAGTTTGTCTATTTAAGGCATGATCAAAAGGAAGCATAACCCCCTACTGCTGACATAAAAACAGTACTAAAAACTTAAAATAAAATTTCTGAACTATCCTCACCCCAGTGAACACTGAAAAAAGAAAACTAATTAAACTCAGAAAAGCCCCCCTCCCATCATATAACTAACTTCCCCAAACATTAAAATCTTTAATAAAAAATTTTTACCAGGGTCTTAAGGAACTCCATCAGCTCTCCGTGGTGTGTAGAAAAAGGTTTGATAGAACTAAAATCGCAATTGTTTAGCCACTGAATGCAGTCATTTGTGCTTTGTAGTATCTCATCAGCACATATTTCATTTACTTCCGATTGCAGGTGTTTAAGACATTGTTCTATGCTAAAAAACAAAAACAAAATGAAAAATTACAGGATTTTTTTTCATGACTTGAAGATAAAAGCATTGTATATATTCTGTATTTTAAAAAGAAAAACTACTTTTTCTTCATAGATTAAATGTCTCGCACAAAATAAGGCCTGAATTTGCAGGATTAACATTTAAATACGGTTGAGCCAGAGCTAAAATAAATTTCCTTCAGGCCAGACTGTACCATGTTCAGGAAGAGTAAGTACTGCCTCATTTCTCAAACAATCTTGTACTTAATAATAAACTAGTAGTGAATAAGACATCATTCAACCTAAGATCGGGCCCTCGGTGCTTACTTAGCTAAAGCAGAGAATATAAACTGAATCAACTACCATACTCAAAGGTGAATGTGTCATTTGCTCCTTTAGCAAATCAGCAGTTGTTTTATAATACCTAAAATGTATTAAAGACCCACTGACATCACAGAAAATGCTGAAAAGAATTTTTGAGTCAGTTGTGCTGAGAAAGCAGATTTTTTCTTTCTTGTTTCTTTCGTTAGACTATTTGAAAGAAAACAGAATTTATTTTCAAGGAGCTGATCTGTTCAATATTCATTTAAAATGATAATCCTGTTCATGAAATCAGATGTGGCTGGTATGGTTATTACAGGATTTTCAGTTGAAAAAAATCACAAGAACAACTGAATATCCAAAATAATTTTATTTCTATTTGTGTGGACACTTACCTGAAAACAAAAACAAACAAAAAAAGAAAAATCTAATTCTATATCTTTTCCTACAAAAACACCTTTTCAGTATTTCAGAACTATATTTTTTTTTTAATATAGTTTCAGTTAGAAAAATAGTATTGGCTAGATCTAAGCAGATCTAGGTTTAATACAAACAGAGTCAACAACGAGACTGACGTCAGTTCTGGTTATTGAAGTGCAAAGTGATTCTCATCACTATTTTCATTTTATTTTGGAGCATATTAGCTATTCCATTTATACTCTTAGAGCTGATCAGAAATGCAAGTTTTAACACAAGTTAAAATTTAGTTCTATGTCTCTGGAGTTATAACAGTTGCGTTATAAACTGAGTTACTGAGCTTTTTACAGGTATTTCAGTGTCAGATACTTTTGATCATATTACTTTCTATTTTCATGACATCAACCAAACAACAAACTTCCCTGTTATACTGCCACTCGCCTCTCTGTTTTATAGATGAAATATGGTTGTCTTTAACTGTTCTCTAACATTTTCAAATTTGACTAGTTCTGGCAACAGAAGATGAGAGAACTAGATTAGAAAAGAGGACACGAAGTGGAGAAAAGGGGAATGAGAGGAGAGGGAAGAAAGGGGAAAATAAATCAAGTGTATTTAAGTGTATTACAAGCCATGACAAAAATAGCAAATTAAAGACCACTAGTTTTCAAAAAAAAAAAAAAAGAAAACTTTTTTTTTTTTTTAATTAGTAACCTTGAATAAAGTAATAAAGTTTTAACTTTTTTTCTGCATAACTTCTCTGCGTGGAAAGATCCACATTCCATGAAATATCATCTTTTTGGAGGAAAATATTTTTTATTAAAAATATAATCTGCTTTGAATATGAAATTACAAAAAAAACCCAACAAACAACCCAACAAACCTTAAACACTACTAACCCCTATCAATTTGTAACAAGAAATCAGCAATGAAAGGCCATTCTGCGTATTACCCACTGACCATACTTCACCCTTTAATTCTTCCTGCAGTACCATTTTGAGGATGTGGAAGAAGTATTTATTTTCTTTTCTACTGGATTTTCTCCTTTATCGTCTGACTTGCATTTTATTCATTTACAGATGCTATGTAAGGTACCCCTAATTTCTACTAGCTCTCTCATTCTGATCAACAGCAATAAAGTAAATCAGTGTCATCCATACCTTTGGGAACCGAGTCTGTTAGTTTAAATTGACGTTTTAACAAAACAGTGAAAAAAAAATAAGCAAACAATCACTCTAAATTAAGTTCAGAGATAAAGAGTAGTCCACGCTTTCCTTTTATTTTTAAGTCACCTACAACAAGCACAAAAGAGAGAAGTATGTTTTTTTTCTGAGAATGCTGTCAAGACATAATCTATGATAGGTTTCACTTTTTGCCTTTTGTTTCTTTAAAATACAGTGCTAAATAATATCAAATGGAATATGAAAATTGCATCAACTACAATTACAGAATGCAAGGATGATCATAAGAATGTAAGTGCAGAAGTGTAGCATTTTGAATGTCAGAAAAAAACCCCATGAATTATTTCCAAAATTATGACTATACAAATTAAAAAAAAAAAAAAAATCATCAAAATAAGTAGGTGATTTTGAACAGATTATTTTCCCATGTTGAACTGTATTCGTTAAGAATTGTGGTTATATTTGTTTTATGCTTAAAAGACATGAGGTAAACCCTAGCAAAATGAAGTCATCACATTTTACAGCTGTACTATCTTCAGAAACCAAATTCAGTAACTACAACTAATGCTAAAATATATAAAAATTTTCAAAACTTATTAATACCTGAGTGGCCTTTAAAACACCTCCACAAAATTGACACAAAAGTCTTGAGATTTTCCCCAGCATGACTGAGTTCAAAATGAAGTGCACTGAAACAAGTATCTTTTCCCATCATCAAAGGACCTTATCAGGAGCACAAAAGGACCTCCATGAAAAACAATCGCTCTCTGCCTGTGGCCCACTCAGGTTCCTGATGGGATAGCCCAGACATGAATACCAATTTTAAACTGGAAAAAAGATTGGCCCCTATCTTTTTTAACTTGTGAAACCTCTTCTCAGGACTAGGAAACTAAATGCCTTGTTCATACACCTTGACTCCTGGGACGTTATCAAAGGTTTTTATTGTGGTGTGCTGATGTGCCTCATTCCACCCTACCCAACAGATCACAGCGCTGTGCATTGTCAAAGGGACTACTGTTCTTTGTCTGTGCCAACCTGCTTCAATTAGGAACCAGTTTTTACACTCATCTTTGAATCTGTGTGCAAGCCAATAAACTACAAGCTATGAATAGGCTACAGCCTTCTCAAGACCAAATATTTCAGTAATTTGTCCCAACACTGATAAGGGGATTAGGTGGATAAATTTCAGTGGCCTTCCCTGTAGGTACAAATCATTATCAGGCTGTTAATTTTATTTGATCCTTTCATTCCAGTAAAGTAAACACCAAATTAGGACTAAAACTGGTTTTCATTGAATAAAAATATTTTCATCCTGTTTACTTAAGAGTTTACTGTAGGTAAACATGGTCTCAAAAACACTGCTATTTCTTTTAAGATTTTTGTCAACACTTAGCATTACATGAACATGGTTAATTATAGATACTTGTTCCTTTACATGACTTACATAATTAAGCGAAATATTTAGGAATTTTGTTACCACTGGAAAAAAAACAAACCTTAGTGTGTATTATTTGAGTTTAGAGAGCAATCATTTTAAATCTGCCAAATAGGATAAAAATTATTCTCACTGTGTAGGCTAGTATTTAAAACTATAATTTCACATCAGCGTAGGGAGAAGGAGACTTTAATTTCCTTTTTCAGAAAGGAAATTTGCTGAAGTTTAAAAAACTGTAAACAATATAATTTTGCTGTGAAAAATGTGCTCAATGTATTTAATGAATTTTATTCTTGAAAGTACAATTACAAAAAGCCATATAAAGTGATAAATTCCTTTCTCCCCCCCAAAAAAAATCCCTTTTCATTAAGGTTTATCTGCAAATATATTGTTCAGAGCAGTAAACAATCTCCTTTTTTTTTGGAGAAATTGAGGCATCAAGCCAGATGATGTCAAGTGACACTATACACATATGACACGTACCAAAATTGTCTTAAAATCATGTGCAGTCAATGGAAAAACACAACCATGTCTGTGTGCAACCCTATATAAATCACGAATACGAGATCTGGACTACAACAAGGAAATCAGATATAGTTGAGTACTTAACACTTTTTCCCTATTTAATATTGTTAACTGGTTCTGTGCTCCATATGGATGTTTTCTGAAACTCTAAGCCTTAATGATAAGGTGAGGCATACAATTCATATTTTAGGTGCTCAGGTACCAATGTTGAGGCATTACTGAACCAAATCATAAGGTGCTTAATTCTTCTGTTGGAAATTAGCCTACAGGCACTACGTGGCAACAGCTGTTCCAGGTCAGATGAAAAGTCTCCAAGTCTCTGACAGTGGTCATTAGGAGATGTCAAAGAAGAAATTTTTTTGTAAAAAAAAAGTTAAAAAAAAGTTAATATTTCTCAGAATATTTTCGTTGTCTCCATCAGTTTGTGACACAAGGACTTAAATGAGGCGGTGCCCTAGTAGTTAACAGCCCTCAATTAATTTTCCTTCCACAGATGATTCCACTTTTCTTTGAACCTCTGGAACTTTTCAGACATAAACATAAAAAAATAGTCACCAAACCACTGAACAAAGAGTGGAATATAAAAGCTCAAAGGAAAGAAATAACCTTTCTCTGTAGCAAAGAAACCTGATAGTTATGCTTATATGGATTTTTGCAAAATTGACTGATTTTTCAAGAAATAAATCTTTAGTCCTACACAAAGAGTATCTTGAGCTTTTGTGGGCACATCAATACTTGCAGTTAGTACTACTGGTATATCATTATTCCAGGGAAAATTATTTCACTGAAATAGCTTCTCCTTTGTAGAGGTGAAGTGTCTTTTTTTTTTACACACTAAGCAAAGTTCTGTTATGTTATCTGTGTCCACACTGTAGTGCTTTTCTGGAGCAGCATGTCAATACCATTTGGTAAGTACTCCCACTGTAGAGAGACAGGCTCAATTTGAGAACTCCTAGGTGCTCTTATTTATTGAGTTAGTGATAGTTTTTAGGAAAAACCTAATAACGTGGCGAGACCACTGTTTAAGTGGCTGCATCAATGGACAGACAGTTAAAAACCAAGTACTATAATGGAACTGATAGTGTAAGCACTGTCATACTGATACATTATTTTGAAAAGCACAGTATC